ACTCACAATTCAAGCTATCTTGCACACCTGAGTATCCACATAGGACCCAGAATATTCAAATGTGAAGAGTGTGGGAAATGTTTTGCTCATACTTTAAGTCCTCTGACACCCCAGAGAGTCTACACAGGAGAAAAACCACACAAATGTCAAGATTGTGAGAAAGGTTTAGGTGAGATTTCACACCTTACGACACACGAAAAAGCCCACTCGGAAGAGAAACCATACAAATGCCAGAAGTGTGGGAAATGTTTTGCTCAGAATTCAGGCCTTTTTAAACATCAGAGAGTTCACACTGGAGAGAAACCATACAAATGCAAAGAATGTGGGAAATGCTTTGCCCAGAGTTCTCACCTTCTTGGACACCAGAGAGTCCACACTGGAGAGAAACCATACAAATGCCAAGAGTGTGGAAAATGTTTTGCTCACAATGCAAACCTTCTGACTCACCAGAGAGTCCACACTGGAGAGAAGCCGTACAAGTGTCAGGAATGTGGGAAATGTTTTACTCAGAGTTCACACCTTCTCGGGCACCAGCGAGTCCACATTGGAGAGAAATCATATAAATGCCAAGAGTATGAGAAACATTTTGCTCAGAATTTACACCTTCAGGGACAGAAGAGAGAGGTCATATAAATGCAAGGCAGGGATTTTTTTAATGGACACCTGATAATTCAAGTTAGATATCCTGTGGAATAAGAGAGTCCACACAGGAAAGAAACCAAACAAATGCCAGGGATGTGTGAAATATTTCACTTCCAATTTACATCACAGAGTGTAGACTAGGAAAGCCTACACAGGAGAATTATTGCATTTGTTGGTGAAGTCATTCATGAGAAAATTAATTCCACTCCACTTTCCTTTTATACTAAGATTTTCCTTTAAGACTAACTTTAACAGCATTTAGACCCTTCCAGCTGTAAAGTTTAAATCACACCAGTTGTTTTGTTAATGGAGTTTTAAAGAAATCAAGATGGTGGTGACTTTTTTCCACTGTCACTTCATGACATAATGAAATTTTCCTATTTTCTTATTTTCCTCTTTCCTTACATTGTAAATCATGGTAGAGGATGGTGAATAGCTGGTCATAATAAAGTTTGTCTCCTGACTTTTCCTGGCTATTCTTAATGAAAAAGCTATTTCTGCTTTTGTTGTTTTGGCCTGATATAATCAGCAAGCATGGTTTCATTCATGGAAGTAGACAACTAAAAGGAAGTTGAATGGGCTCCCTTGAAAGGAAATCCTTTTTTTGCAGAATCCTTTTTCTAAAGAAATCCAGTCATCAGCTGGCCCTCCGTCTTTCAGAGTTGTACTCACGCAGTAATTCTTCGCTCTCTGCCTCTTGCGATGGTCCTCCTTGCCTTGAATTCTAGGGTCTCCCTACTGCACAATCTAATGTGAGAGGCCGTGGAGATAGCCTTTCAACCAGCATTTTTGAGCATATTGGAAAAGGCAAGGATCTCGGAACTGAAATAACACAATACAAAAGCAGCCCCCCTTGAAGCCCTGCACAGACTGAGGACTGCCTGCCTGAGGGACTGACTGTTCGTCTTTTTACGAGCCTGTTAAGATTTTTCAAGAGAGGTCCTGTTAAAAATCCGAACAGTTTCAGAAATGTCACACAAGGGCCTGCTTGCGTGTTGCTTGTAGGTTACAAGAGCCACTGGCAAGTCACCATCCCTTTCCACTCTTGACTGTTTTTAAGGAGGGAGGAAAATTTCATTTGGCACATTTTTCATCCACTATGCTGTGTATTTTTTTTTCCATTCATGTATGTGAAGGAGCAAAAGACCCAAAGGAGAAAGAAGGGAGTGAGCTGTCCCCTCAGCTATAGACGTCTGAGCAGAAAAGAGATATAGAGACCTCTGGGTAGTGTGCGCGGCATATAAATTGAATAAATAAATAGAAGTAGGGAAGACAAGAGAAAGTGAGGAGTTGAATGTAGGGGAGGGGAAAAGAAGGGAATCCAAGGGGAAAGAGGAGAAGATTGAAATCTGACTAGTGGAATAGAGAGGGAGAAGGGGAAGAAGGAGTCCCCTCCATCTGTGTGGGGGGAGGAGATAGGGAAACAACAGGGGAGAAGATGATGGGGGGAGAAGGAAAGAGGAAAAGAAAGAGAGGGAGAAAGGAGAAGTTGGATATGATAGAACACACGGGTTGTTAGAATATTTCCCTAATCTGAAGGTAGGAGGATTCGTACCTGATCCGGATAAATCTAAAGAGAAGACGACATCGGCTGAAGCCCTAGAATGGACAGGCCTGGTCTTCAGGTGGGGGAAAGGTCACTAGAGGAAGGTGATTCTGCCGGACCTTTCCTTCCATCATCCACCACCAGAGGGGGATTGAGCCAGACACCTTTGCTGTTGGACAATACAGTGGTGCCTCGCATTACGACGTTAATTCATTCCAGCGAAATCCCTGTAGAACGAAAACGTAATGCGAAAATAAAAAGCCCATTGAAACCCCTTCAATGCGTTCCAATGGGCTGGAAACTCACCATCCAGCGAAAATCCTCCATAGGGCGGCCATTTTCGGTGGCTGTCTTGCGAGGAATCCGTCCCAGAAAACAGCCATTTTATTTACCCGGCGGCCATTTTGAAACCTCCGATCAGCTGTCCGAAAATCGTCGTTTTGCGAAGAATTGGTTCCTGAAGCAGGGAACCAATCATCACAAAGTGAAAAACCCCTATTCAGACCATCGTTTTGCAATCACAATTGTGATCGCAAAAAGATTGTTGCAATGTTGTTTCATCATAATGCGGTCTTGTAATGTGGGGCCATCGTAAAGCGAGGCACCACTGTATGTGTGCTTCGAAGTGCTCCATTGTGTCGCAATGTGGTTTCATCATAATGCGGTCTCGTAATGTGGGGCCATCGTAAAGCGAGGTACCACTGTATGTGTGCTTCGAAGTGCTCCATTGAGGGAGCCCAGAGATTGGGAACATTTTGGGCCAGCCCCTCAATGAACGTTCTCCATTTACAGACAGAGTTCTCATCCTCACAATTTGGGCAGTTACCAAAGGTTAGTTGTTTTAATGACCTCCAGAGCTGGCTTTTCGCAGGTATGTTGGCAAGTCTTTGGGCCAAAGTCCCAAATGTGGGTCTTTGGTTGTCGTTGTTAAGCTGTGTCCAACTCTTTGTGACCCCTGTCTTCCACTGCCTCCCAGAGTTGGGTCAAATTCATGTTGGTAGTTTCGATAACACTGTCCAGTCATCTCGTCCTCTGTCATCCCCTTCTCTTGCCTTCACACTGTCAGGGATTTGGCAACAGGAAAAAATATGCAGAGTTACTGAAGACACTTACAAGTTGTTCTTCTTTTGCAAGACGGCTATATTTACAAGTATTTACAGGCAGGCATCTCATCAGCATGGCAGGAACTCTTTACAGAAACGGACATAGTGCATAGCAGCAAATGGTGAAGAAGGAAGAGGAATGATACACAAACACTGTTCACTTATACAGTATACATATACATGGCTTTTCTAGTCCAATCAGAAGACACATGACTTCATCCTCTGCAGCTGGTGTCTTCTTATTTCGACATTGCATAATCTTCAGAGTGATTCAGCATACTCACATCTGTACACAATGGCAGCTCGTTAATAATACATTTATTCAGGTTTAGGCCTACAAACTTTCTATATTCTGACACCCCTCCTAATTTTTTATACCTGAACAAAACACATTCCCAAATCTTTTATACATTTCTCGTGTTTCTGTGTACTCAAAGGCTTAGTCAATATGTCAGCTATGTTGTCTTCAGTTTGACAATACTCTAATTCAATCAATTTCTCTTTTATTGCCTCTCTTACATTATGATATTTAATATCAACATGTTTACTTCTATTTTTCACTCTTTCTGTCACAGCCATATGTATACATGTAGTGTTGTCCACCATTACTTTTATTGCACCATTTGTTTCATACAACAACCATATATTTTCTAACTTTCTTTTAAACACACATTTGTTACCTGTAACCTCTGTGTTCTGTAGGTAACTTTGTTTCTGTAAACACCCTGTGCTTTTCATGGATTTCATTTTCTCATCCATGGCATCTAGCCATTTCCTCCTTTCAAAATCAGGAAGTTCCATTACCTCCTTGTAATTTCTAGGTTCTAGGTATACGTGACAAACTCTTACTCCACCCACTCCAAACCTCTTGGGTGGCGCACCCTTGTTTGCCCTTTCAGACCTCCTAGGACCGTCCAAGGTGTTTTCCAGGGGGTCTTCTCTTCTCATGAG